GATTTTTTACTGCATCAAATCAATACTATAAATAAAACAAATAAATGCGAACTTACTGCCACCGAATTTACACTTTCCATTGATCTTGGAACTAGTGGATGATTGTATTTCAGAAGAACGGGAGTAGTCATTAAATGAGCTGAAGTTCAGTCAATTTTAAGTTGAATAAAGGAAAAGGGAAAAAAGGTTACACAAAATACAACCTACCAATGGCAATTTTGTCATTATATTGTGGCAGTTCAGAAAGCATAACGTAAAAAGCTGAAACACCCTGGGAATAACCCACATATGAGAGTTTTGTTTTATTCGTTTGCTCTAAAATATAATCAATCGTTGCGGGTATATCAAAAACACCAATCTCGTGCCAGCTAAAATCCCAAAATGTTGGATCATTTGGATGCTTAGTTATATGATGCCTGGAGAATGTGTTGCATCTTGAATTTCCGATCCAAACATCAAATCCTTTTTTAAAAAATCAAGTTGAAATGTGCAACAATAGAATGATATATTGTGGCTTAGACCGTTCACTTGTACCTGCATCAGCGAACTTATAACCAGATGATATGTTACGTCCCATCGTTAAAAATATTGGCGCTGCCATAGTAATTCCTACATTTTTTATAATTAGAAAACACGGAAATCGTTCACACTTCGCATCATAATAGTGGCAAACAGTCCCAAGAAAAACTTTTTTCACTCATTAATTAAGCGATATTGACCGTACCGTGCATTAGTAAAATAATTCTATGATTATTTCGTCTTGCATTCACGTTGGGGATTCGATACACACTTAGAATATAACCGTCTTTTGTTTGTACTGTATGTTTTTCTGCTGGATAATTCTCAGCTTGAATCATATCCATCTGTGGCGAAAAACCAAAAAAATGAACACTATCCATGATGCAGAATGTACCATATACTTACAACAGGATCAGCATAGCTGAATGATATTGAAATTAATGTTAGAACAAACAGATGCATTTTGTTTCGTTTCAAACAGTATTTCACACAATTGTAACACGTTTATTGATACATTCTCTTGCCACTACGTTTGGTGTTCGAATGCAATAAAATATCAAAAAGTCAATCAGTTTTATGCGCAGCACTTTTTCTTGTGTTTCTTCTGCGACAAAAAGAGTTCAAAAGATCAATCTTCACTCAAAGATCAATCTTCATTCGATTGCTCAATAAAATCTTCGTCTTATTTTTTTTTTATTGTGATAAACAAAAATATTTTCAGTGCAAAATTTTATTTGGCACTAAAAAACTGGCTTTATATTCATTTAGTATCACGTAGACAAAATGTACTTTAGATAGCTGCACATTATTTTAATAAAATTTACCACAAATTACTTATTGTTCAAAATCCATTAATCAAAATTGATTTTTTTTTTGGGTTTTTTCGATGGCTTCGGTTTCGCCTTTGTGAAAAAAATGAGAAAGAAATGCGAATTCGTTTGTTGAACGTATATCTTTATTTATTCGGTAAATCAACCTTTTTTACAAATATAACCATGCTAAACAACACAAATTCTTTGAAAGTGTTCTTTACCAACTTCATTTCTATCTTATAACCGTATGTCGCATACATCGGCAAAAATCTTCGGACAAATAAATCCTATTGAGTTAATTTGGAGATGTGATTTTACACATTTGTGAACAGATGATATAAACTTATTATGGAGTAAGTATTACTTAAGTAGCAACAAACTACCGAATTTCGATATGGCTCGAGTTAAAATCATATAATTTTGATTAAAATTGCAATTGTTTCTACATCGATATATCGATATCAAGTATTACAACATTGTCAGTGTATTTGTTTGTAGTTCATGTTTAAAAATTGGCATTCTGTCTCAGAGTAAAGCTTAAGGTTCGTTGTATTAAACTTAAAATAAAGTAAATTTATATTCAAAAACAAATTCCGCATTTAATAAGTCTTTGTACACAATTTTTGTATATTCCACAAAATATTCAGTGCACAAAACGCAATATAAAGGAATTTTCCCAGTGTAGACACGTCAAGAATTTAAAGTTCAAAGTATAATAAAATCATGATTAAACTTTTTCCAAATACAAGACGTTGCGTGATTATGGTGCATTGTCTACTTCAAACAAGAATCTCCATTCAGTTGAACAAAAAAGGTTCGGGTTTCATTTTGCAAATCACACAACTTTAAAATTATCATTTTGCTCAATGTTTCAAAAGAATAAAATAAGCATAAGCATGATTCAGAAGTTTATTCATTTTTTTACGATGACGACCCCGAAAATTGAATTCATCTCATTGCAAGTACGATTTTTTATGAATTTGGAACATTCTCTTTTCAGACAAATAACAACCGAAAAATCAATTCAGAATAGATTAAAATACGGGCAGTAGCTAACGTTAATTTTATTAAATCCAATACATGCCGATAAGAAAGAAATTTCATTTTAAATCGTAGTAAGATAATAGTTTTACCTTTTCCAATTAATTATGCAAGTTTATTATTCTTACTGTTCACCGTTTGAAGGTCACCGAAGGCCTCCGTTTTCTGATTTGCCCAAAGATGACTGCCATGTAGTAATAATTAACAAAAGAAACAGATTTATACACCGGTGCATTTCTTCAACGCGTTTTACAATTTAATATGAGAAGATTTATTTTAAAGTTATTATCAAGAAGTGTTATCACAGAATTTAATTAAGACATTATTTTAATTAACTACAATTTGAAGCGTATCCATCTTAAAATGATTGATAACATTTCATTTCAATAGAAAATCTTTGATACTTTAAATATTTTCTTATGAATTTTATCCAGATTCGATCCGAAAATAAAATCAATGTGATTGAAGCCGGGAACATGTGAAATGGCTACTGGATAGCAACCCATGGCTTTTGCCAATAATGGAACATTCTGTCAAAATCGCATTCAATTAGAAGCTGAAACATGAAGTATTAAATTTTCGACATACCTCTGTTTGAGTTAGTAAGTCGTTAGCTCCTTGAAGAATGTGAACTTTGGCACGAACGTTGGTTAAATTGTATTCTGGAGGTTTTGGCGTGCCGTAGATCTTCAAATTCATTTTGATACCGTGATCATAATGTTGAAAACGATCTAAGTTTAAAAACGATTTCCCATTTATCCCATTTTAAAATAGAGTATATTTTAACTTACGTGCCACAGCAATTTGTACATAATGAATAAATTGTTTATAACTCGAACCGGCCGGTATATGATTGATGATTTTTGCCAACAAATCATCTTTGTAAAGATTTGATGGGCCAAACAAGATGTATACAACACTTCGGCATATATCCCTTCCAGTCTGACTCATACAGAATCGACTTGCAATTTCGAACATATCGATATAGGGGCTTGAATGTGAAAACAATTCATAGATCCCATTGGTTCGCAACCATGCCTAAAATGATTTTTT